TTTTGGGGCTAAGGCAATCAATTTGGTGGAATTTTGAGACATGGCCAATTTGGGGCAAATTTGGGGATTTTTGGATTTGGGTTGAAATTAAATGAAATTGAGGCTTCACCAAGGCCAATTGAAGATCAAGTTTGATGTTTAGGAATGTTATGAAGAGTTTAGGACTCAAATTGAGGTCAATTGAGTAGTTTATAGGTTCAATTTGGTAAGATTAAGTCATGCAGCCAAAATTGGGGGTTTGATTTAGATCAAAATTAGGCTTAAATCATGGGCCAATTGGGCTTGGATTTTATTTAAATTGGTCATATGAAAGGTGAATTTGAGTTTAGGAGTGAAATTGAGGGAAATTGGAACCAAATTGATGGACATTTGAGGTAAATTTGGGAAAATTGGGCCTTTAAAGGCAAATTTTAGGGGTTTTGGTCAAAATGGTCAAAATGGCCAAATTGGATCATGTGATAGTTGAGAAAAGTGAAATTGGGTTTATTTGGAATATTTTTAGAATTTTTTGGAATTTTGGGCTAAGGAGGGGCATTTTGGTAATTTGACAATTTTTAGTGATTTTGGGTAGCTTGGATGTTTTCAAAAGGTTTGAAATGATTTTTGAACAAATTTGGGTATTTTGGGTAAATTTAGGAATTTTGGCCAAATTTAGAGTTCCAAGGGTATCTAGGTAATTTGGGCGAGTTTAGGGCTAATGGTTAAGTTGGTTATTTTTGGTAAAACTAGGGGTTGACCACTGCAGATAAAACCCTAGCCTAGGGTTAGTGGGTTTAGGGGACCATCTACATGAGTATCCCAAAAGTATCAAGGGATCAAAGTCAAGAAATTTTGGTTTGTGCTTGTGAGTGGTTATGGGTGAGGTAAATGCTGGTGAGTGCCTTAGCTCTAGACCAACACCAGGGCGAAGCCTAAGGTCCAACAGTCCTATGGGAACTCTCCTTGAGCTCTCTTATAGTGATCCCACCTACTAAGTGCTAGAGGATAGGACCAGTATGTAGAGCTTCAATTTGAGTAAGGAATAGTTTAGAGTTTCTAATGGTGAGTTCATTTTGTAGTTTTCTAAGAATAGTCAATAGGAAAGTTCTATGATTAGACCTTAGGTTACTGAAGATTAATCATGGGATTCTACGTAAGTATACATATCATTATCAAGTAATAAAGGACTTGATGTTTTAACTCCCGAATATCGATCCTACGGGGAAGGTTTAAATTTGAGATGATAAATTTATTAGGAAATTCACAGAAAGTAAAACGAAATTACTGTCACTAATTTCGAATGCTGAGATATTATCAAAACTGAAATGCAAAGTTTAAACAGTAACTATTAAACTATTTAACTATGTTTATGTGATGAAGATTTCTTTTGTGAAAACATCTTTCCCACTACAGTGAGATTTTGGTATAATGAGATGATATAAATGGTTTAGTATGTATTGTGTCAGATAGGAGCAATCTTAATTCTCTACTCTGATACAGTGTTATAGAAAATCATTGGCTAATCCCATATTTTGTCCTTAAATACGTGGCTAGTCTAGGAGAATACTAGCTCCCACTCAAGAGCTCTCACTTCTCTTCACTTGAAGGCTAACTCTCGCTTTAGTTTTGAAATACTAAGACCGAATTGAGGATTTTAGTCTGTGACCCTGAAATCTCGAATTCTACACCCACCAATGTATATTTTCTTATTTATTTGCACTAATTCTATGAACAAAATTCTTCTTCATGAAATCAAATGTGATCCTCAGTCTGTCAGAACTCATACTTCATTTTCCGGATCATATGTATCGCAAGACAATTTAACAATTCAATTGACTAAATCGAAAAGTAAAATAAGTTTGGAGTTAAAAAATCATCACAATTTATTTCATATTTAAATATTGGCACATCCATATTAATATTGGCACATCCATATTATCTTGCACATCCATATTATCTTTTCATTTCATCTTATCTCAGAGTAGGGAGAAAGATAAATAAAAACCACTCAGACTTCATCAGAAAGATACAACAAAACACAAATTTCATGTATAAAAGAAAATTCATACAACACTAATAAACAAACAACACTTATCTGAAACTTTTTCTCAAAGCAAAACCCTTGTAGTCTCTCCTAGGAAATGTAGGAAGAAGAAATCTCTCACTTTTCTCATTTTCCAACACACTTTGAAAAGAATTCACACTAAATCTCACCACAAAAACTATAAAATCTTAAAGATAACTCACCAATAGACTTCTGAATGGTGGTGGAATGAAGATGGAAAAAGTGTATGGAGGAATGAGGAGGAGCACCTTTTCTGGTCAATTGGCACGAAGGGGGTTCTTTTTTGATCAATTTTAGGTCTAAATAGAGCCTAAGGTCGATTTTCCAATAGGTGCATCCAAAAACTCCTCAAAAAGTGTCCAAATTTGTCGAATCTTCTAGAAATTGGGGCTGAACCGACATTGACGCCGTCGGTACCCATTCTGGCATCAGAGGGCACCGTCGGCGCTAGTGTTTTGTATTTAATTTAGGTGTTCTTTGTCAAACGACGCCGTCGGCGCCCAGTCTAGCTCTGTTCGCACTGAACAAATCTCTAACTTCTCCATTTTGACTCCAAATTTCATTTTTTTTGCTTCCTTTTTGCTCAAAGTCCTGAAAATCAACAATCTGTAAGAAAACATAAATATACCTTCCATTAAAGTGCAATATCACCAAAAATACGTCTCTTTCACTGAACGAAAAATCAAAGATAGAAAATTTAAAAGCTTTGGTCCATCTATCTGTTTATCTATTGTATTCATCTCGATTCACATTCCCCTGCCTTACATATAATAAAATCCCAATGCCAAGCCTATTGTTCTCCACTTTCGCACGAATTGAGAACCTTCCAACCATCAAATTGCCACCCAATTGTTCAATTCCAGTGACCCTAAATCAAACATCACCCGAAACACATCAACCCTTATACACTAAGTGCTTTTTTTGCAAAATTAATCTTTTTGTTGTCATCTACAC